CTCTGTTATTAAGCCCATGAGCATTTATAGTTGTTATATCTGCCTTGTGAATTGTGCCTTTTATCATTATGAAATGTCCCTCTTTATCTCTGATATTTAATAATATTCCTTATCTTAAGGTCCAGATTATCTGATATTAATATGACCATTCCATTCTTCTTATACTTGCTGTTTACATGATATATTTCCCATCCATTTACTTTCTACTTATCTGTGTCTTTGTGTCTGAAGTGTGTCTCTTGTAGGCATCATAAAGATTATATTAATGTTTGTAGTGCTGCATGACAAATTACCCCAAACTTAACAGCTTAAAACAACATCCCTTTACTAGTTTATAGCTCCATCAGTCAGAAATGCAGGCAAGGTGTGGCTGGCTTCTCTGCCTAGGGACTCTCAAGGCTAAAATCAAGGTACCAATCAGGCTGCATTCTCTTTGGAGCTTGAAGTCCTCTTCCAAGCTTATGTGATAGTAATAGAACTTAATTCCTTGCAGCTGAGGACAGGAGTCCCCACTTCCTTGCTGGTCCAGCCAGGGGCTACTCTCAGCTCCTAGAGGCCTTTCATATTTCTTACCTCATGGCCCCTTTCATCTCACATCCAGCAACAGAGTATCTTACTCATGTCAAATTCCCTTCACATTTCAAATCCTTCTTCAGGAAAAGCCTGGTCCCTTTTAAGGGTTTACCTGATCAGGTCAGACCCACCGAGCATGATCTCCCTGTCTAAAGTCACATGTGCCATATAACATCACCTTATACTTTCACAGTTCACACTTGTACTTAGGGAAGAGGTGGGAATCTTGGGAACCATCATAGACTTCTAACTACCACATGCTTTTTATCTTCTCTATCTCTGCATTTTATTTAAAGTACTTAGACCGTTAATATTTAATGTAATTACTGATATGGTTAGATTTAGGTCTACCATTTTATTATTTGTTTACTGTTCGTTCCCTCTTCTTTCTTTTGTGTTCCCCCTTGCCTGCTTTCTTTAGGATTATTATTTTGTAGTAGTCTATTTTGATTGACTTTTTAACTATATCTTATTTTTTAGTGATTGCTCTGTGGATTGTAATACATATTAGCAATCTTTCATGTTCAATAGAGTTAATTTTGTACCATTTCACATAAAATGTAAAAACCTTGCAGCTATGCAGTTCCTTCTCCCCATATTCTGGATGTCCATTTTGTTAATAGCTATCCTGTATGTTACATCTACAAACACTGAAAAATCAGTAAGGCAATATTGTAATCTTTGTTTAAGGTCATTTATATATTGAAGAATTAAAAAGAATAGTCTTTTATAGATACCCAGATATTTACTAATTTTCTTGTTCTATCTTCCTTTTTGAAAATCCAAGTCTCCCATCAGCCAAAACAACCTTCAGAGCATTTATTGTATTGTAGGTCTGCTAAAAAGTAATTCTCTAGTTTTACTCCATCTGAAAATATATGTTGCTTTCATTCTTAACGTTTATTTTCACCAAATATAGAATTCTGGGCTTACAGGTTATTTTTTCCCAGCACTTTGAAGATGCTTTTCCACCATCTTCTGACATCCATGAATGTTAAATCTACGATCATTTAAAACATTTCCCTATATGTCATTTTCCACCAGCTGCTTTCAAGGTTTGCTCTTTATCCTTGGTTTTTAGCAATTTGATGCTGCGGGTATTCTGTGTTTATTATGTCTCTAAGCATTTTTTTTTAATTTGTCTTGTTTGTGGTTCACTGAATTTCTCAAATCCATAAATTTATGATTTTCACTAAATTTTAACAAGTTATTGGCCATTCTTTCTTACCCCATTCTTCTCTCTTCTCTTTCTGGGATTCCAATTACATATCTGTTAAGAGTTTTTTGTATTGTTCCCTGGGGCTCTAAGGCTCTGTTTATTTGTTTCAGTCTCTTTTTTCTCTTTCTCACTATTCTTCAAATTAGACAGTTTCTATTGATGTAACTTCGAGTTCACTGACTCCTCTATCATCTCTATTTTCTATTAGGGCATAAGATGACTGCAGCTCACTCTTTTTTTTAAAAAAAAAAAGGCCTCTAAATTGAAGCCAGACACAGTGGCTCACGCCTATAATCCTAGCACTTTGGGAGGCCAAGTTGGGTGAATGGCTTGAACTCAGGAATTCAAGACCAGCCTGGGCAACATGGTGAAGGCCGTCTCTACAAAAAATACCAAAAAAGTAGCCGGGTATGGTGGCAAGCACCTGTAGTTCCAGCTACATGGCAGGGGCTGAGGTGGAAAGATCCCTTGAACCCAGGAGGTCAAGGCTGCAGTGAGCCGAGATCTTGCCACTGCCCTCCAACCTAGGTGACAAAGTGAGATCCTATCTTTAAAAAAAGACTCTAAATTGAATACCTGTATGTGGAAATGGAGAGAAAAGGTAATTTAAAAAGCAAACTTTTTCAAAACCTCTAAAATAAGGGAAATTATCCCCATCCTGGTCATTTCTCCAAGTTTTTACTGTAATACACAAGCTACCCAAACTTTTAAATATTAATAAGAATCCTCTTATATCAGAGTTTATAATTATGATCAGTGGGAGGACTCATCTCAGAAGGTTATAGCACCAAGGCAGAAGCAGAACTCTCTTGAAATTGATGTTTTGTCCCCACATCAAAGCCTCTCCACATCCTGCCTGAGAGTGGCACCTCCAGGGCTCTTACTTAGCAGGTGGTCCAGCCTCCAGCCAGGTTAGGCTGCAGTGACACTGGCTCTCGAGGCAGACTTCCCCATCTTGTTGGCATTCATCTCTCTAGTTAGATCATGAGCTCCATGCTTATGTTTTTCACCAAGACATTCTGGAGACCTTACACAGTGCCTGGCACAAGAAGTGTTTGTCTGAATGCATGAACGAATGAAGTGTATCAGACTACCAACACCCACCCTTCTCCCTAGCTAATCAAGGAGTTTTGCTGTCCTTAATCAGAATTGTCAGTATAAGTAGTCTTGAAATATGTACTCAGAACGTCAGTGTGGCCAGCCATTTCCACTTCCTGGTTGTACCCAATATGTATATTCCATTGGCATTACAGAAGCACATAGGCTGTATTTGCAAGGTCTGTAACTTGGAACACATGTTCCTATTAACAACGTTGGATTTGCTTATTTGGTTTTCAGTCTAGTCTACAAACTCCTATGAAACCCCAAATGTAGCCAAAATTGTGAATGCCTACACCAAAAGCATGTAAATAAACATTACTGCAATACTGGTAATCTTTAAAACCCAGAAAAACAGGAACTAGTATATTTAATGTGCTACTTAAATGAAAAGTAGGCTTAATTAGAAAAAGAAAATTGGGTAGGTAGAAGAACTTCTATGAGGATGCTGAAGGAGACTTCTGAACATTTTCAAGGGCTCAAGAGGTTGATGGCACTGATTTTATTTGTAATTTAAATTCAAATCTGATATCTTTCTATATATTTATCTGGGTAGGAAATCTATTTTTTATAGAGATTGGGAAAAAAAATGAGAAAGCAAAAAAGGAGTGTAGGGAGACAGAAAGATTCAGAATCAGAGAGAGACTCAGAGAAATATATTTTCCTGTGGTCACCGTGTAAGAATTATAAGACAGAAAAAAAAGAAAAAGACTTGAAAGAAAGAAGCATCCTGGGATGGGATGAGACAACTGAGTGAATAAAGACAGGGCAAGGGCAGAGAGTCTGTCTGCCTGAGGGAGGACCAAGGACATCATAGAGATTGATGGATCTGAGTCCCGCTGTCCAATAGAACCTTCTTCAAGATGGAAACAGGCTGTATCTTCGCTGCCCAGTATGGCAGCCACTAGCCACCTACAGCTATTGAGCATTTGAAATGGGCTATTGCAACTGAGGAACCGAAGTTTTCATTGTATTTAACTTAAATTAATTTAGATGTAGATATTTATAGCTCTGCATGACTAGTGGCTACCACAGGATCAGAAAGCTCCTGGAACCATTCATGGGTGTGGGGCAGTAATACTGAAGGGGCTGGCTATCTCTTGCCCAGGGACAGCTGATGTCTGTACAGAATGAAACAGTTGAGGGGGGTAAATCAGGAATGTGATGGAAGTGGGGAGATGACCATCAGTATGGTTGGGACCCATGTCTTATGTTCAGTTTTTAGCATGCTTTTGTTAAGGTGGCAGACTATTTTAGGTAAAAATAAAATCAATTGAACTTATTTCAATTGGTCCAACAACTAAAGACAAAAACAACTAACTTGCACTGCTTTAGTGACTTTCAACATCAGTGTGGAAGATGATGTCCAGATGAGCATAAGAAAACATTGAAATTTGAGCACAGAATGGAGAGGGCATACAAATAATTTCTAAGGAGCATGCAAAGGGGTTGGTGGCCCCTCTACTTACGGCACCCTCACACAGTGCCTGGCATATGGTAGGTATGCCATCAGTATTTCTTGAATGACCCTCTGTCGTATGAGAGCAGGAAGCAACAAGACAGGAACCCAGACCTAGTAGATACAGACACTGATGAAGCACCCATCTTCTCTGGAACATCATATAGGGACAAGCTTACTGGGTTTTAAAAGCTAGCAATGGGCAGTCTGAAAACTGAAGACTGGATGAGGTCAACCCAAGAAGGAACCTACAGAGACCCGAGTGTCGGACACAGGAAGGGGAAGAGGATGGAGGCTGAGCTAGAGCTGTTCAAAATGTAGGAGTGTGAGGGGAAGGCAGGGTCTGTACAAATGTAAACCCTCTTACATGGAAAACCACTCACACTTGTGAGAGACATTTTATCACCTGGCATCATTCTCTCCACTGGATGTCAAAATTGAGTGAATAAGAGTGACATTTGGGGATCTTAATGTGTTCTTCATACCCAAGATAATCTATCTCTCATACACACACAAACAACATGATAACAAACTTTTAGTATTTGTATTTTTGTGCCCCAAATAATAAAATGCCCTAGAGACTAGTCACACTCTTGGGAAGGTAAAACGAAGAGTGATAACTGAACATTGCTGTAATTGTTCATTTCGTAGATGTTCTTCAGCTTCTGTGAGAAGAATGTGGATTATGAAACATTTAAAGCCCTCAATGATTCATGTCTTGTGTATGATGGTCGACTTGTGATTGATGCCAACTTCCACACCAATGACATAGCCATCAGAGCTGCTGGCTCCCTCACCAAATTCTCCAATAGATACTACTCAAATGAGTGGACTCACAGCAACTTCAGTTCCAAAGAAATTGGCTTTCAGCTGGCAGCAGCTATGCTACATCTCTTTGATCCAACCCTTGAGCCTGTGACGGAGCCACCAGCTGATCTTGACCGGCTCATCCCCATGTACAAGGGAGCCAAGATTCAAGGTATACGAGTAGGCTTCCTTCTCCTTGATGAAGCCACAGATTAGGTAGGGGTCAGCAGTCAGGCCAGCCCTCCAGGTTTCTCTTAGGCTTGGGGAAAAGGCTCCTCCATATCTCAGTGGGTTGCCACAGAGACAGAGAAAGGGTCTGTCTAATTTCTGAGGCATTTATTACAAACCCAAAATTATTGTTGTTATGATTCTTTGCATTTGAGCATTTATTATGGACCACATCCTAAATGGGGTTCCCATTTTACAGATACGAAAACAGACAAGGGAATGATTATTAACTTGTCTGGATGTCCCACAGCTGGAAAGTGATGGTTTTCCCTGACATCTTACCCAAAACTTCCATTCTCACTATAAGTTCAGAGATGAGGAGACTCTTCCAGGCAGCCAGGCCTCAGCCTGCTCTGGGATGGATAAGCTTAACCATTTGCAGCTGTAAAGCAGTGCACTTTTATCCCGTAAACCTTTTTGGCCCCTAGGGAGGAGATGACTTCATGAGTAATGCAGGGTTCCTTCACTGTTAGGGTATGAGAAATACCTTTGAAAATGGTGTTTCTGAATGTTGTGGACCTTTTACCAGAAAAATGCACATATTTACAGAATTCCGTGTTCACTTCCGTGTTACATGTCCAGTACATGTACTCAGGTACATGACATTCCATTGACAGAAACCCAGTCCAGTCAATGGAATGTCAGATTACAGAAATGAAAGCCCCACATTCCATCCTTGACTTCCTCTTCCTAACTAGGCAGCCCCACAAGGTCTTCTTCTGCTTCTCTCTCTGGGTAAGACCTGAGAGAAGGTGGTGGCTGTGGGCAGGCAAGAGAAGGGAGGGCTGTCAGAAGCCAGAGCTGGCACAGGTCCAGACCTCAGGGACAAGCCAACATATTAAGAATTCGATGATGACAGTTTCTAAAACATTGAACAAAGAACTTTGTTGATTGTCCTAATTAAATTCAATTTTTTAATATTTTGGCTACATTTTGGAGAAGTGATGAGGAACAGGAATCCTATTTGCAACAATTTAAGGCTTCTAAAGGTCTTGATCTGGTTTTGGCAGATACAGATTAGAGGGCGGGGAGCTACGGATAATCACAGGATATACAAGATCGGCTTGGCATGTCCTGGAGCATTGGCGGCTACATTATGAGATATCGTGTCACATTCACATCAATTTGGTTAAATAAATGTCAACCACCCTGGGGAGTTCCTTGCTGTTGGTGGTACTTTAGTGGGAAAGTTTGAGGAGCATACACCACTGCAGGCATCTGTTTGTCCTGTGATGAAAATGTGAGCTCTGTTACTCACCTCCTTAACAATTCATTTGAAATGGAAAATTTGCCATCTCTTCTAGGGGGCATTCTTCCTGGGTCTTACCATTATCTGCATATTGCCAAGCCTGCCATTCCTACTCCCTTGGAGGTACAAATGGCACAGCCTAATTATGTAAGTATTGTTTCTGAATTTCATTTTACTTTCAAATACAAAACTTTGTTTATAAGAGGATGAAATTCTTTACTTGGAGTCTTTACTGTAATGTGTCGGTTCACGCATCAGAAGCCCACTGGGGTAATCGTCCCCCTAGATGGCCCTCAGTGACTCTCGTGACTTGGTCTTCATGCCCTTGTGTGGCCCCTCCCGCGCTGAGTAGGGCTGATCTGTGTAGCCAAGAGGATACTGGGGAAATGACTCTGTGACTTCCAAGGTCAGGTCAGGTCAGGTCAAGAAAGATACTACAGCTTCCAGCTTGCACACTTCTAGATGACTTGCTGCCATGCTGTAGGGACCCGTTGAGAGAGGTCCATGTGGCAAGGAATTGAGGGTTCCTGCACCAGCCATGATCAGTTTGCCAGGCAGATGAGCGTGCCACCTTGGAAGTGAATCCTCCAGCCTCATTCACGCCTTCAGGTGACTGCAGCCCCAGCCAACATCTTGACTGAAAACTTATGAAAGACCTTGAGCCAGAATCTCCTAGCCAAGCCACTTTCAGCTTCTGACTCCCAGAGACCGCGAGATAATAAAAATGTACTGTTGTTTTACACCATTACTTTTTTTAATAGACTTTATTTTTTAGAGCCATTTTGGTTTCATAACAAAATTGAGCAGAGGTAGAAAGATTTCCCATATAACCCCAATGCTTCAATAGACATATAGCCTCCCCCACTATCAACATCCCCCACCAGTGATCTATTTCTTACAATTAATAAACCTACACTGGCACATTATCAACCAAAGCCCGTAGTTGACATTAGGGTTCACTCTTGGTTTTGTACATTCTGTGGGTTTGGACAAATGTATAATGACACATATCCACTATTACAGGATCATACAGAGCAGCTTCACTGCCCTAAGAACCCTCTGTGCGCTGCCTGTTTGTCCCTTCCTCTGTCCTAAGGCCTGGCAACTACTGATCTTTTTACTGTCTCAGTCACTTTGCCTTTTCCAGAATGTCATATAGTTGGAATCATACAGCCTATAGTCTTTTCAGGTTGGTTTCTTTCACTTAGCACTATCCATTTAAGCTTCCTTTGTATCTCTTCATGGCTTCATAGCTCATTTCTTTTTGGCACTGAACGATCCTCTATTGTCTGGATGTATCGGTTTATTTATCCATTCACCTACTGAAGGAAGTTAAGCCTCTACGTTTTGAGGCAACCTGTGATGCATTGATAGATAACTGAAATATCCACTTTCATGTCAATGGAGCAGGTAGATTGCTTAGCATCTGGAATGGCCATGGAGACCCCACTGTTTTCCTCTCCTCCAGGAAAAGCAGAAGCTGTGCAGTTGGGAATTCCCCTGTTTAAAGGACACAGGTGGTTGGTCAGTTGAAGAGCTCCTCTAATGAGATTCTCTGACCCGTGGTCCCAGCCCGCTGTGTGTTGTCATCTGGGGGTTTCCTTTTGGATATGTCACATTTGATTTTTAGTCAGTGAGGCAGACTGGAAGCTGTCTACTTAACTTCCATTCCCATTTTCTTCTCCTGAATATTTTTGAGGGTAAACAATATGACCAACCTAAATTAAACACATTTCCCACATTTCCTCAAGGACAGGGTCAGCCATGTGGCAGGTTCTAACCAATGAGATGTAAGTAGAAGCTCTTGGAAAATTCCTTAAATGGGGGCCTACTCAAATGGCACAGGCTATGGGCTCTTCACCCTTCAGGAAGTCTCAATCCCAGCTATTCCATTTCCTTCCCACGGACCTTGAACAAGTTCTTCAACGTCTCTGCATTTCTGGGATTGCTGGGGAGCATATATAAAGTAACATCGTCTGGAACAAAACAGGTAGCCAGTAAGTGATGAAGATGGCTGTTTTAATCATTATTCCAGATAAATAATGAAACCCAGTTCTTCCAGGAAAAGGGTAGATGCTGTATGTTTAAAACTTACTTCCCTTAGCCCTTTCCCAGATTCTTTTAGTTGTCCTGTACACATGGTCTGATGCAAAATTTTCTTATAATACAGGAAACCATAAGATCATAATAGTGTTCCAGTTTCTATTGCTGTATAAAAATCACTCAGTGGCATGAAGCAGCCATTTGATCCTGCTCACAGATCCTGTGAGTCAGGAATTTGGACAGGGCACAGTAGGCACAGCTTGTCTCTGCTTCACACTATCCAGAGCCTTAGATGGGAAGACTAGAGGGTTAGATCAATGGTCCGGATCATCTGAAGGCTCCTTTGCTAAATCTGAAGGCTTGTTATTCAGCAGGACTGGGATGACTCAAGGACCGGAAGTGCTCACCACGGCCTCCCGACCTGGGCTGTCCTCAAGTGCCTGGGCTTCCTCACAGTATGGTGGCCTCAGAGTAGCCAGACTGCTCACGTGGTGGCTCTGGGCTCCAAGTGCAAGTGTTGGTACTAGCAAGTTGGAAGCTGCATTGTCTTCTATGACCCACCCTCAAAAGTCACACAGCCTCACTTCTCCCACTCTCTCTGTTGGAGCAGTCACAGCAACCACCGAGATTCAAGAGGTGGGGGATAGAGAGTCCATCTCTCAAGACAGACAGTGTCAAGGTCATATTGCAGGACAGTGTGTGGGATGGGGAGACTGTCATGGCCATATTTGGAAAGTACAATCTGCCACCAATGAGGTGGGGCATGAGGTAAATAGGATAAAGCCCAGAGTATTCACAGGCTAAGCACTTTGATCTTCACAGATAAATAACTGGAGTCTGATATGCACAAGAGATAGAACATATTGGACTTGGTTCCAGCCAGAACCAGATTCTTCAAGGACAGTGCATGATTTCCTACATGCAGCATCGTTTATTTATGAGCCACTGGCTCTCTCTAAATAAAATCAGAGGAGGAGCCAAAAGGGGTTTTTAGATAATGAGAGTTTTAATAAGAGTGCAACTTAAATAGATTCTTTGGCTGGTGCTATGACAGTATGTGAACAGGACCCCTGACTTTAATTAACCATTTTGCCAGGTGGGCCTCCTTTTTAATTAGTACAGAAGATCTAAACAGATTTTTTTTCCATTTTATTATCCAAGAAAAAAAAATGTAGGATGGCTCCATGGCAATCTTTTGGGGTTGGAATTAATTTGATTAAGTGAAATTGTTGCCAAAATGGTCAGGCAGTCACCTAAATATAGCCAATTGATCAAGAATGGAGCCCATTGAACAATATTTCACCAGATAAATTGAATTACTATTCATACACTAGATGTAGCACAGACAAATCTTATCAGATTTTTATAGTGCTCACTAATTGGAATATTTAAGTCGGAAGATACTGTAGTAATTCATGAGCTCTTTGAGAGGTAACCTGACAAAAGGAAGAAAGGGGACCCCAAGTCGTCTACATAATAAACTAATTTACAGATTCCAGTCCACATGCTTTGCTGGTGTATATACCACGGAATAAAGAAATTTGTCACAACAAATTCTGCCTTGGATACCATCAAATTTAAAATTGTGTGTTCATCGTGAGAGCTGGGAACTTGATTTCTTGAACACCAAGTCTGATTAATCCTGTGTCTTCCATTTGGCATGAATTCCAGAGCCATTTTCCAACCTTTGTCAAAATCATAAAGGAACTCCAAAGGATAATTGTATTCAGGGAAAAAAAGAAGAAGAAAAACCACATCAGAATCAGTGACTCCATCAAAATTTTAAATTTAATATCCAAATTTTTAAACAATGTACTCATATACTTAAAATAGGGGAAGACGCGAGACATACCCTACCAAATTGGAAGGTTGTGAAGTAAGCATCCTGACCCCAGAACCCTGCACCATGTGGGCAGGGCTGGGAGGTGCCCTACGGCATCACTTAGTGGAGCAGCTTCCTATGAGCAATTGCAGAAAGAGTTCTGGGCTTCACTGGGTTGTCCTGTTCTGTCAGCGACTGTGAATAGGAATGGCCTGCACTACAAGGGTAATTTGTGTCTGAGAAACCCCTGTATGAGTGAATCGTATTTAACATGAATACAGCGTATTTTGATGCACTGTCAGTTCCCAGATGGACCCTCCAGTGAGGCTAATGTAGTACCAAATCTCCTTCAAATGGACACTGTTCCTTCCAAAGTTAAGATCAGCCATCAGTGCAACCTCCTCGTCGCTTTCTCTAGCATAGCTGCTTCTGGACTCTAAGCCGTAATTTCTGTACGGCCCTGTATGCTAGGATTATGCAGACAAAACTTATAGAGGAGGCCAAAAGATGATAATGCAGTCTTTACGTTTCAAAATAAGACCAAAAAATGCAACAAGTCCATAACAAAAAAATCATTAAAAATGATGCTGAGGATAGACTCTCAAGGAACAGGATGACATTTAAGGGCACAAGATGCTCAGACTCTCACTGCTGTCAGCCTGCAGCCTGCAGGGCTCCTTGAGGGCTTGTCACGTCACTGCCAACTAAGTGACTGTGACCCTCATCTTGAGGTGCACAGCCTCGGCCACATACGTGGAATCCAAGTCAGCCCTCCTAAACACAAAGAAGTTCTTGTAGGCTGAAGGTGGGGGATTTAGTGAGACTCTTGGCAAAGTCAAGATTTGTTAACCACATGGATGGATGTCAAGGTGTGCCCCCTTGACACCTGGGCCCCCTTTTTTAAACACTTCGAACAATGAAACCTAAAAGGAGGAGAAGGCTTGGGAAAGCCTAGCAGATAAAACTGTGCCAGAGTCTGTGGTGCCTCCTCTCCCAGACGCCAGCCTTACTGCCATGGTGCAGGAGCCGCCCCTCCTCAGAACTCACCTGCAGTTTTCCAGCTTTTCCACCAATCATCCCTTACTGTGATGGTGACATGCACCCCTGGGTTCCAGAAGCCAAACCTAAAGCTGCCGTTTCCAAACTCAAATGGTCTTTCAAGTCTTGTGTTTAATTTAGAAATACATGTGGAGGTCACGTTCTTCACTGTCCATATATCTACATATATTTTAATTCTGAAATACTGCTGAATATCCTGGGCCATCAGTTAAAGTTGACACCAGAGGTTATTCTGTGAGGTCAAGTGCCCCCACCCCCACCCCATGCAATGGTGTGAGTCATTGCTCAGACTGTGAAGTCAGGACTTGAGGAAACACCCGGGAATGAGCAAAGCCCATGAGGCATCCAGGCCTAGAGAGATGCCTGTGGCAGGAGCTGAGGGCAAGGGATGGGCAGAGGAGACCAGGCCCCTGCAGCCAGAGGCTCAGTCCTGGCTTTTTCCAAACTCTTTTCCAGAGGAACCCGCCCTTCCGCACCAACTCCTGCCTGGAGTCGGCCTGCTTCCTTCCTTCCTTCCTTCCTTCCTTCCTTCCTTCCTTCCTTCCTTCCTTCCTTCCTTCCTTCCTGCCTGCCTGCCTGCCTGCCTGCCTGCCTTCCTGCCTTCCTGCCTTCCTGCCTTCCTGCCTTCCTGCCTTCCCTTCCTCCGTCCCTCCCTCCTCCTTCCTTTCTTCCTTTCCCTTCCTCCCTCCCTTCTTTACATCCTTCCTTCCTTCCTCCTTCCCTCCTCCTTCCCTCCTCCTTTCCTCCATCCTTCCTTCCTTCCTCCTTCCCTCCCTCCCTTCTTTCCTTTCTTCTTCCTTCCCTCCCTCCTTCTTTCCTCCCTTCCTTCTTTACTTACCCTTCCTCCTTCCCTCCCTCCTTCCTTCCTTCCTCCCTTCCTCTCTCCCTTCCTTCCCTTCCTTCCTTCCCTCCCTCCTTCCCTCCTTCCTTCCTTTCTTCCTCCCTCCCTCCTTCCTTCCTTCATCCCTTCCCTCCTTCCTTCCTTCATCCCTTTCCTCCTTCCCTTCCCTCCCTCCTTTCTTCCTTCCCTTCCTTCCCTTCCTTCCTTGCTTCCTTCCTTCTTTCCTTTCTTCATCCCTCCCTCCTTCTTGCCTGCCTTCTTTCTTTTCTTTCTTCCTCCCTCCCTCCCTCCTTCCTGCCTTCCTTCCTTTCTTTCTCCCTTCCTTTCCTCCTTCCCTCCCTCCCTCCCTCCCTCCTTCCTTTCTCCCTCCTTCCTTCCTTCCTGTCTCCCTTCCTTCCTCCCTCCCTCCCTCCCTCCCTCAATTTGTTCATCAAAAAATCTAGTTCCTTGCCATGCCACAGCCTGAGTATTTAAAAATAACTTTCCCTCATTTTAGAAGTAATGATCATTTTTTAAAAATTAGAAACTGCAGATAGTCAAATAACTATAAGGATAAACAATAAAAATTACCCAGTCTCCCAACCACAGAAGGTGACCATTAACTAACTGACCATTTCAGAAAATGACCAACATTTTGTGAAAATGTTGATACAAAACAAATGAAATGATACTGTGCGTTTTTGTAAACTACTTCTAAAGTATAAAATGTACTGTGAACATATCTCCCTGTTATGAAATATATTTTAACACTAATTTTTTTTAATGCATTGCCCTCTATTGTGGGCAGGCCATTGTTTTTTGGATAATATCTTAATAAGTTTGGATTTTTTAAGTACTTTGTTATGGTGGTAGATTTCCCATCTATCCATCCATTGCTATAAACAAAGGACCACTTCCATCTCCCTTGAAACACCATCCCCCAACCCCATTTGCTCCTCCCGCACCCCCAAATGCCCAACCTCTCACACACACACCTGGGGGTGGCCCAGAACTCACCTGTCGTGCTCCTGTATGTCTCATCTTATGCCTTTACAGTTGGCTGAGTCCCCTCAGGGCTTTGCCGTGTGATACCCAAACACCCACCAGTTGCCTGTATTTATTTAAAAGTTGAACTGTCCTTGTTTAGACAAAATCCCCAGGTGATGTCCAGGACTAAGTAAATGTTTGGGATCCAGGCAGTTCAAATTGCCTTGGATTTCTAAATGCCACATTCAAGTTCAGAAGAGAAGCTTAAATCTATATGCACTCAAAGAACATTTATTGAGCGTTACTGTGTACTAAGGTCAGAGTCTAGGGCCAAAGGGAAGGTTCAGTTCCCGCCCCCCCAACCCCGACAAAACTCATGTTTGTCCACAGAATCTTCCCACTGCCTGAGCCAGTGGGGAGGCATCCGCGGCTGCAATAGAAAAAGTCATCGTGGCATGGAATTGGAGCAGCATCTATCCTTGTCACTTGGGCTCATGTGGCAGTTGGAGCTGGTTTCTACAGGGCAGAAAGTCACAAATCCACACCTTTAACAATGTATAAACTAGAAAACCACCTGCAGAATGTGTATGTGCATCTCTCATAGCCTTGAACCTTCTTCCTGGGAACAGACCTTTTCAAACGACTGACCCTGCCCAATCCCCGCCATCAGGCATGGCCTTTTACTTCTTTCTTTTGTTCAAGTAATCTTGAAAATAACTGACATGATTTCTGGTCAGTTTTGACTAGGAGGTTTTTCTCGAAATGATGCTGTGTAAGCAAAGAAATTTAACCGTGTTAAACACCTCAGAGGAGAGAAGAAACCCAGTTCCACTTATTAGCTGGGTATGCAGTGTTAGTAAAGGATTGGTTGTAACCTAGCAACTAGTTTAGAAACACGGAACAAGGCAATCACAGTTTAAAATATCCTGAGGAACATTTAGTCACTGAGTCCAAGTATGTGGTTTCTGACACACTGTTACCTTCTGCCGTGTTTAGTCAATATCTATTACTGTTATTTGCAACAAGGGATGAGATATAACCTATCTGTTATATTTGAAAAATATATTGCTATGATAAACTTCCCAAAATCTAGAAATGTTTCTAATGTTGTTTTTCTGGTCCGCGTCCCTCCTCCAGGGTTTAGAAATAGTAACCGGCAGTGCGAAAAATGGGACTTACTTCCGAATTCATATTAACGAGTATAACATGGTGGAAACCATCACGTGCCTTTCTAGGGAGCCCTTCCCCGCCTCCAACTACATCTGCTTGTTTGGCCAGCACGAGCAACTCCTCAACAACCTGTGTGCTCGGTACGATGAAAACCTCATCACAGATCTCTATAGGTAAGTTGGACATTGCATTTGACTACAGGAAAATACAAATATATATAATGTCTTGTGAATGAGGGACGTGTGTTGTGATGCATCCGAAAGCAAAACAGGAATCCCGGAGAGAAGCTGAGTGGCAGATTTCGTTCTGAAGAAGAACACCTGACGTTAATATGGACTGGGGAGCAGAGAGTCATGGGATGTGTCCACACATGGCCCCCATGGCCATACCAGGGCCTGGACCCCAGGTGCAACCAAGCCCACCATGAACAGGCTTGGAGGAGATGATATTCAAGTCCCTCCCCACACAGGATGGCTAAGAGCAGTGGTCAGAATTGTAGGAGGTCGATTTGGGAACAGCATGTGGAAGGGTCTGATCCTGATGGGAATCCACGATCATGGGACAGGGTGTTTGTGACCCAAGCCTTCCTGCTCATGGCATGTGTTCAGGCAGGCTCAGGGTGGCCATTTGTCCAGTGTATTGGTAAGGGAGTTCCCACACTGACAGGTGGGTTAGACTTGAAACCTTTGTCATTTCCAACTCTTAAGACACACTTCATCCTATCCATTAGGAAGAATGGAAGTTCCGAGTGGAAAGCTTCTTCTGAATGTAGCTTGCTGCTTAGCAAGGTTAGGAGACTTTCCCTGTTCACAAAGCACGGTGATGCAGAGCCAGCACCAGAGACGATGTGGAATGAAAACTATGCAGTTTCAGTGTTCTCGACACCCATAGAGGCAACTGCCAGGATTGCCATCAATCTCTCTTGCCTCTTAAAAATTTTTTAAATTGTAGAATGCGTCATACAAACAAAAAGGCAGGTGAAATATGTATGGACACTTGAAAGTACTGGAAATCTATGGGCCCACTGCCTATATTAAGAAATAATTCCTTACATTAGCAGTCAGGAAGTCCCTCTCTGATCACAGCCCTCCCCCACCTTCTTGGAGGTAGCCACTGTCCTGAAGTTTGAGTTTGTCACTCTGTTGCCTATAAAGCAAGGATCAGTGAACTTCTTCTATAAGGGGCAGATATAGCCTCAGTTGCCAGTACTCAGCCCAGCCCTGGTAGTGAGAAAGAAGCCATGATGATGTGTAAACAAATGGACACAGCTGCGTCCCAAGAAAGCTTCGTTCACCAAAATGGGCATTGGGCTGGATTTGCCCCTAGTCATACTTTGTCAACCCTTGTTTTAAAGACGTGTACATAGACACATGTGATTTCCTAAATAATATATTAATTTGCCGTGCCTACTTCTGACTCAGGTTTATGGCTTACCAAAGAAAGCAAGCATTCTGTTTAGCACGGTGTTTGTGAGAAGCATCCAGGATGATGTCCGTAGCTGTGGTTTGATTGTTCTTCCTGCTGTGTGGTATTCCATCATATCATGGTCACGATTCAGTCATGGCTTTTCCTGTTGACTGTATTTACACTGGTTCCAGTTCAGGGCCGTTACAAGTGGACGTTGTGAACACTGTGGACGTACCTCATGTGCAGAACCTCTCTGAGATGTCCTAGCCCTAGAACCGCTGGGTCACAGGACGTGCATATCTTCAACTTTACTAGTTGGTGCCCAAATGTTTCCCAAGTACGGTCACGTGCCACATAAAGACGTTCCAGTCAACAGTGGGTCACACGTATAATTGTAGTGCCATAAGATATTAATGAAGCTGAAAAATTTCCATCTCCAAAGGCCACATTCCTGTCACCTAGCACAACACATGACTCACGTGTTTGTGGGGATGCTGGGTCAACAAACTTACTGTGCTACCCAGTTGGTATAAAAGTATAGCACACAGTTATGTCCAGTGCAGAATACTCACTGATGATAATAAATGACCATGTTACTGGCTTATGTATTTACTATACTATACATTTTATCGTTATTTTCGAGTATATGCCTTCTACTTATGAACAAAAAAGTTAACTCTAAAACAGTCTCAGACAGGTCCTTCGGGGGGTATTCAGAGGCATTATTATCACAGGAGACGGCAGCTCCATGTGTGTTACTGCCCCGAAGCCCTTCCAGTGGGACAAGAGGCAGAGGTGGAAGACAGTGATATTGATGATCCTGACCCTGCAGGCCTAGGCTAATGTGTGTGTTTGTGTCTTGGTTTTTAACAAAAAGTTTAAACAGTAAAAAATAAAATAAAAAATTTTGTAAATAAGGACCTAGAGAAATATTTGCATATAGCTATACAGTGTGCTTATGGGGTTCCTTTATTTTTCTTCTTTTTTTTGAGATGGAGTCTCACTCTGTTGCCCAGGCTGGAGTGCAGTGGCATAATCTTGGCTCACTGAAGCCTACGCCTCCCAGGTTCAAGCAATTCTCCTACCTCAACCTCCCAAGTAGCTGGGATTACAGGCATGTGCTACCACACCCAGTTTATTTTTGCATTTTTAGTACAGACGGGGTTTCACCATGTTGGCCAGGCTGGTCTCGAATTCCCAGCCTCAGGTGATCCACCCACCTTGGCCTCCCAAAATGCTGGGATTACAGGCGTGAGCCACCGTGCCTGGCCTTGTGCTTGTGTTTTTTTGTTGTTGTTATTTGTTTGTTTGTTTTTTGAGATGGAGTCTCACTCTGTCGCCCAGGCTGGAGTGCATAATCTCGGCTCACTGCAAGCTCCGCCTCCCAGGTTCACGCCATTCTCCTGCCTCAGTCTCCCAAGTAGCTGGGACTACAGGTGCCCACCACCATGCCCGGCTAATTTTTTTGTATTTTTAGTAGAGTCGGAGTTTCACTGTGTTAGCCAGGATGGTCTTGATCTCCTGACCTCGTGATCCACCTGCCTCAGCCTCCCAAAGTGCTGGGATTACAGGCGTGAGCCACCACACCTGGCCATGCTTGTGTTTTAAGCTAAATGTTATTATAATAAAAGAGTCAAAAAGTTGAAACAAAATTAGATTATAAGGTAAAAAGGGTAAGCAATGGTTAACTTATTATTAAAGAATAATAAAGATTGAGAAACATGTTTCTATAAATTTAGTGTAGACTAAATGTACTGTTTATAATATCTCCAGTATTGTATGGTAATGTCCCAGGCCTTCGCACTCACTCACCACTAGCTCACTAACTGCCCTAGAGCAACTTCCGGTCCTGTAAGCTCCGTTCATGGGAAGTACCCTATACAGGTATACCCTTTTTAAATCTTTTATGCCATATTTTCACTTTTCTATGTTTAGATACACAAACACTTCCTATGGAGTTACAGTTGCCTACAGTATTCGGTATAGAAATCTGTACAAGTTTGTAACCTAGGAGCAACAGGGGCATATAGGCCAGATGTGTAGTAGTAGACTAGACCATCTGCGTTTGTGTAAGTGCACTCTAGGATGGTTGCCAGCAATGTGTTTCTCAGGACCTATTCCCGTTGTTGAGTGACACATGACTGTCGTATTTATTTAAATTTCCCCCAGCAGTGAATGAGAGAGCACCTCTTGCTCCACAGATCTGCCAAGGCTTGGTACTGTTAGACTTTTAAATTTGGCCAGTCTAGTAGCATACAAAGGTATCCTCCTAGGGCTTTAATGTGCTTTTCCCCACTTAATGATGCAGTTAGCTGCCTTTTCATTTGTTCATGGGCCATTTGTGGTAGTTTCTGTGAAATTCCAATTCATGATATTTGTCCATGAAGCGAGGGTGTCTTCTCATTGTTACTTCACAGAAGTTATTTATCAACAAACGGAATACAAACTTGTGTTGGTTATGTATTTTTAACCAACTTTGAGGCTTGTCTTTTTACTTTCTTTATGATGTCAACAATATTCTTACTTTTAATAGAATGCTTGTCTTCTTCAAGAGCGTCTTGGGTATTTTTGTCCTTTCATTCTTCTAATAATTTTATAATCAACTTGTCAAGATCCATGAAAAGCCCCATTGGATTTGATAGGAAATGCATTAAATCTTAGAGCAATTAGGCAAGAATCGACATCTTTGATATTGAGTCCAATATTATAACGTAGTATAGCTCTCAATTTAGGTATTCTTTAATGTCTTTCAATAAAGGTTTATCATTTTATCCATGAATGGCTTGTGCAACTTTTGTTGGATATGATCCAAGATGCGTTATATTGTTCTTTCTGTTATAAATGTCATTTTTTATGAATTGATGCTTGTGTATAGAGATGAACTAACTTTAGTATAGTTCTGTATTCTGAAAGTTTTGAGTAATTTACCTGTAGATTTTTAGATTTTCCAAGTAGAAAAATTATATCATCTGCAAATAGTGACAGCTTTGTTTCTTCTTTTCCAACTTTTATAATATTTATTTCCTTTCTTGCTTTACTGCACTGGCTAAGATTTGTAATTAAAAGATTGGCGGGATGAGGTGGCTCACACCTGTAATCCCAGCACCTTGGGAGGCCGAGGCATGCAAATCACCTGAGATCAGGAGTTCAAGACCAGCCTGGCCAACATGGGGAAACCCTGTCTCTACTAAAAATATGAAAATTAGCCAGGCGTAGTGGCTCACACTTGTAATCCCAGCTGTCTGAGAGGTTGAGGCATGAGAATCACTTCAACCTGGGAGGCGGAGGTTGCAGTGAGCCGAGATGGCTCCACTGCACTCCAGCCCGGGCAACAGAGTGAATTTGTGTCTCAAAACTAAAAATAAAAATAAAAAGTTAAGTAGGAGTAGTGAGGGATGGTGCCCTTGCCCCATTCTTAATCTGAAGGGGAAAGGGTTCAAAATTAAGTGTGTAATAGTTGCCATATGTATATTTTTATAGATGTCCTTTGTCAGATTAAGAAAGTTCCTTTTGATTACTGGTTTTCTAAGCGTTCTTATCATGAATGGATTTTTATTTTTATTTTTCAGAAAGAGTACTTAGTCCCTGAAACCTTTTACGTGTAAAGATGTCTTCCTAATGCTTTCAAATATAACCTACATTTTGATAAGTATCAAAATTTAAAATCGTGAGCTTTCCCTCCTCCTTGCAGGCTTGGCTCCAATACTTATTTTAAATAATGAAAACCACAAGTATTTTTAACATGAATTCATTTGCTCCTTCACTT